GAAATAAAAATGGAATATAACAAAATACAAATGCTCTGCTTGTTTTTCCATAAATCTAACTGTAAATCACATACCCTTTAAATTTGCAATATCGTCTCGTTCGGGGAAACAATACATTTTGAGAAAGTAGATTTTAATAAATTATGAAGGGTCGAAATTATGAGGAATATATATCATATTTAAGACGATTACGTAATAGGACTATCTACGTGACATAATTATCGACAGAAATACGAAATTATAGTTAAAGGGGATAGAGTTAAAGTAATGTTATAATTAAAGCAAGGTTATAGCAATTTCAGTTCAGTCCAAAGATTTTCTTATTTATTTGCACAATATGTATTATGCGTTAATTTCACTGGATTATATTTTCATATCCATCTGTTTAAAACCAGAAAACCTGAATCACAGGATATAAATAGATTTTCTCGGCATTTTGTCTCGGCTAATATACATAAAATACTTATAATATATAGGTATCATTAATTTTTTTATACAACGTTTATGAAACGTTTTCTAACTCTTTTTTTTTATATATTTTAGGTACAAAATTCGTTAAATAAAGCCAAGTTAAATAAAACAATTTTGCTTTAAATCGAGATACAGTCGTACAAATATTTCGAGTCTCCGTATTTAATTTGCCTATCGGTGCGTATTGAATCGGCATATTGAAATGTGAAAACGCACTGGGAATGTGAAAATGCACGAGACACGCTAACTCACGTCAGTTTCCACGCGTAAGCGAAAAGCGAAAAGCTCACTCTGAACGAACACCTTTGTGATTTTTAACTCGGCAAAGCCGATATCTTCTGCCATGCTCGTTTTAATTTAAGCTTTTTTTTTCTCTTTTGTTGCTCCCGTCTCAATGGAATTTGAGAAATTCCACGATTCGTTTTCTCATAGCAAGGAAGAAAAATATATGCCAAAATTAAAGGCTTATCAACTGATATTTTTTTCCATTTATTTTTTGAAGCATATATTCAAAAGTATTTATCGCCGTTTCGCGTAAATTTTTATTTCGGCATAGGTTTCGTTGTTAAGTTTATGAAGAAAATCACTTTCCTATCATTTTTTGCTTTATACTTTTTTACAGGATACAAAATTAATTAGCATTTATTAAATTTTTTTTTCCTATAATAACCCTATAAGCAATTTTTAAAAAGAGGCAGAGCATTAATTAAATTGCGGCAAATTTAAGTAAAAAAGAATTGATGGAACTTTCCCTTAGGATAAAACTTTATTACCTCTTGTGCTTTCCTCTTCTACTCTCTTTATTTTTATATATACTTATATTCTGAGATTAAATAAAAAAAAATTTAGTATACCCAATTAGAAAATAATTGGTCGCACTTAGCAAAATTTGATTTTGCAACTGTTGGAAATTTTTTTTTCCCTGATTGGATTACATCGTCGATAAGCGAAGCAAGCTTTTAACCATTCAGTTGCAAAATAAATATTCTGCTGAACGCAATTGATATAAAATTTGGAATACATTTTGAAAATATTAATTATTTTTACTCTTTATTATCGCTTTTTAATTATTTAATATAACATTTATATAACATTTAGGAATAAAATAAGTATACGTATTATCCGCGTATGTTCTACCATACGCTATGATATTTTTAAGTTTTATTTCAGTTCTTTCTCAATTATAATCATTCATACACGATATAAATCTAAACTAAACATACATAAATCTAAACTAAATGGATTAATTATGTTATAAATTAGAAATTATTGTTAGAAATTATATATTTGTTAAACATTAATACATTAAAAACTATTTCTTGATTAAAATTAGCAAATATTAGCATTGTATAAAAAAGCTCTTAAAAAAAAGTTGCGTTATTAACAATTTATTGACTTAAAGAATATTGTGTGTTATATAAATATTTCTCTTTCACATTGAATTTAGTTTAAATAAAAAAGAGACTACGATTTTTCGGATAATATCTAACAAACTATTTTTCAATAATTATTTAAATAAAATTATTTAAAATTATATTACAATAATTTACATATTACGCATTTATACATTATTTCAGCATGTTTTATATTTTTATAAACTACCACTAAATTATTTTATACATTATTCTACTTTTATTTTATACATTATTCTACTTTTTATACATTATTCCAATAAAATATCAGAGACATTGCGATATGAATACACAAAGCCCTTTTCTATTTTACATTTATGATGCCTCCATTCTACTTTCTTTTATCATATTACCTATTTTATATATTTCTTTTCGTCGTCTCGCCGTCGCCTCAATTCTGTTTGACGACATTCCTGATTGTATTATTAAGATAGACATTTATATTCAGGAATCCTTATTACATTGATAACTTTTTTATAAATTAACTTTTATATAGATAAAACAAAGTTAAGAATTACTGCCAGCAATCAATAATCGAATCTGTTTACCCAGTATAAATGTTGGTTATACAGCTATGAATTAATATGCAAAACAACAATCGTTACGTACATAAATTATAACCACTAAATTGCACAACATTTCCTGTGAATATAATATTTGGGAATAATTTATATATTATAATATCAACTTATTTGAGATCAAACTTATTAATATTATTATTATTATTCTCAATTGCAGTAAAGCATAATAACAGCTTGTTTAAACAAAAGTTGACGTCAGTATGTTATACTCGTATAGTTGATATTGCAAATATATTGTATTTATAAAGGTTGATATTACGAACGTCCACGAACGTCCACCGTCCACGTCGTTCTGAATAACTTTATGTGGCTCTAGCTTCCATAAGAGAGAAAAAAAAATGGAAAGTGATAAAACACGTAAAAGCGATTTATAGCTATATGCGGTTATTTCTTTCAAGCGCATAACTTGCAGAAATCCATCCGGAAGCCTTCCAAATGGTTTCATAGTTCGCTGCACATTTCTTTTCCTACCGTCTTCCCCATTGCGTTGGCGAGACGCTAAAATTGTTTATTTTCCCTCTGACTTTCTTTTATGTGGTATTACCACATGTTGACTGTCGTACACAGATCTCATAAAATGCGCGCACGATTATTCTGGGTCACTTACTCTTAATAAACACCTTGGAACGCGCTGAGATCACAGCGTATCCTCCTTTTTCTTCTCATTGTGGAGATCTCTGATATCGAGCGAATTTATTCTCTACGATAATCGGGGATAACTCTGGTACAAGTGCCAACTTTCGCAAAAGTTTCACAAGTTTATCATCCAACGGTGTCGATATGTAATTAATAAGTTTTCTCTGTAATTATAATAATACTTACTCTTATATGTGTATCCATATCTGCTGTCAATTTTTTCTTGAGCTTCTTATAATATCAAAATTTTTACAAAATTTAGTATTCTAAAGTTTCCTTGAAAAATATTCATTTTACATATTTTGCAGAATATATTCTTACTTCTCAATAATGCTTCATTTTACAAAATTGTATTTTTTTTAAGTCGCATTTCTCTTCTATTCCTATGTCATTATTACAAACAATTAAATTTCTTCATTTATTACCATTCGATGTGTCATTTTAAAGAAAATGTTCAATCACAACGAAAACATTTCAAAATGCGTCAACGTTGTCCCGGAAAAAGTGAACTTCTACTGTTCTCGCATATAACTTACAAGTGGGTGGAAATGGATCTTCATATATCTTTCCGTAATACATATGACGTAAACGAGGGTCCATATATTGATAAGTGTAGTACTCTGGTTAGTAAATGAATGATCATTCAAGGAAAGGTTAACTATCCTATTGGATCTAGATTTCGCTTGAGCTCGAACTTGAGCTTTTCTTGCTAAGAGCAAGACTTGTCAGCGCAAAGTCGAGAACGTTTGGAACACGACAGCCATCTACAACGGCGATTGCTGATACTTGGTGGCAGATCCCCCGTAAGTAAAATATCGTTCCTCTGACGTTCAATTTAGCTCAAATATCAGCTTTATATAATCCACATATTATATATGTAGTAGGTTTGTTATTAAAAT